GTTGCTGGGGGTGGTGTGTGTGTGGGGTGGGGGGTGTGGGTGGGTGTTTTGTTTTGTGTTGTGTTTGTGTGTGTCGTTGCTTGGGGCGCCCTCTGCAGGGTTAATTACCCCGCCGTGTGAATTGGTCGCGTTTATAGTGGCGAGCCTGATGACCCGCATTGCGCGCGGCCGGCCCTCTGTCTCTCTCGCACCGCATAGCAGACCACCACGTGTGACAGAGACAGAGCGAGTGCTGTTCCGGTATCAGGCTGCAGCGAACTAACTCAGCCGTTCGGATTTCGGCCGGGCCACGTCTGCAGGGGCATGCACTGCCGTGTGTGTGTGTGTGTGTGTGTGTGTGTGTGTGTGTGTGTGTGTGTTGGGGGGGCGGGGTGCAGGTGTGAGTTCTTTCTCGACTCCTAATGACGCCTGCAGGAGTCACTCTGTTGTTTTGGACCCCCTCCCCCTTTCTCCCCGTGTCGTCCCGATATCGCGCGTGAGGCATCTCGCTCTTTGATTACCCCTTTTTTGCATACGGGCTTCCGTTCGTTGTTGTCGTCGTCGAGGGTCGTCGTCACTTACTACTTCGTCACCGGGAGGAGGGAGGGAGAGAGAGAGGGACCGTCCGTAGTTTTCCGTGACGTCTTTGTCTCGCTTTTCTAAGGAAGATTTGTCGTTGTTTTTGTTGTTTTTGTTTTTGTTTTTGCCCCGATTCACTTCCGGCCCCGTTGTGCCGAAGTGAGGAGGCCGCAAATTGGGTGGGCTCGGTGAGAAACAGCGACACCTTTTGGAGCCTTTTTAACAGCCCTCTCTCTCCCTCTCCTCCGGCGGGTTCGAAGGGAGTCGGCCGGGTGATTTGGAGGGCTAATGTTATGCAAATGCGCTGCAATGCTTTTGCATTTGCGAGCACCGCGCTGCTCCCTGGCCGGATGGAGTAATTAAAATAAGCGCGAAAAAGAGAGAGAGAACGGCCGCCGATAGGGATCGAACCCGCAACCTTGCGCGCCGCGCGCCTAGCGCCTCGCTGCCGCGGGCTTTCTTGAGCGCCCCGGGGGCCGCCCTCTCCTAATTGCGTAATGGCTTCGTCAGCCGGCTTAGGGATGAAGGCGATGCAGGCCGCGTGCAGGGCGGGGCGGGGCGGGGCGGGAAGGCGCGCCGTCGTCGGGGAGGTGCCCGTCGACGCGGAACGGAAAGCCAAGTCAGTCATCCTCGAGGACGTCATGTCCCCTGTCCTTAAAAGGGTGGCCATGTTTTCGGATGTCCTCGCTCCCCCTGCGTCGCCCTGCGTCCTCCCGGTCCTCCGCCATCGGCGTCCTCCTCGTCGGGGCGTCCCGGAGGGTGTCCTCCCTCAAAACTGCCTCCGGAATGAGAGTGTCCTCGGTGGGCCTCCACTGGCGGATTCCATTGTGCGCCTCGCCGCGAACATCGCGAACATCCCTAACAACGTGCATGTCCTTTGAGCCGCGCCAGCCGCGCATTCGTCCAGGACGAGGGCCTCGAGGATGTCGAGGCACGCGAGCTGCGCGGGCGGGGAGCAAGCAGCACTGCAAGTTGCAGGGCCCGGCCCGGCCAGGCACACCGCCCCCGCTTTCCATAACAACCAAATTGGAATATAATCGCCCACTGACGATTTAGGACTCCCCGCTGTGCCCGCCCGGCGGGGCTGGCGGGGCTGGCGGGGCTGGCGGGGCTGGCGGGGCCCGCGGGGCTGGCGGGGCTGGCGGGGCGGGCGGAGCTGGCGGCCTCCCCCGGTGCACCCCGTGTACACTACACTACACTGCGTCCATAAAGTAGCTCCGCTTGTTTTCCTTTTCGGATCGGCTGTCGGCAATATGAAGGCGCCTCCCTCCCGGCCCGGGGGCGCAGCACGCCCTCTCTCTCTCTGTCTCTCTCGCTCTCGCGGGGCGCCGTCGGTGTGCGAGAGAGACAGGCTCTCCTCGGAACGGCCTCCCCGGCGCCGCCCCCGTTTAAAGTTTAATGATTTGTGGCTGCGTTGCGGGCCGATCGGGACATCCGCGCGTTTACATCAACGCGCTTAATCCGGCCCGTGCAACAAACACGTAACGCGCCCCGTCTCGCACTGCCCGGCCTGCGCCTTGAGTGCGAGAGAGACAGAGGCCCGCCACCCCGTCGGCGGCTCGGCTCGGCGACGCTCAGCCTGACACCGGATCCGGCCTCCCTCCTTGTCACGCCTCACGCCCGTCCTAATCTTTGCCGTTGTTTCCCCAGGTAAGCCCCCGTGTTCCTTGACCGAGCGGCGAGCGGCTAGAAGGCCTAGCCGTGCCGGGGCGGCGCCGAGGCGGTAGTCGCAAGGCGCGGCGGTAAGCCAGTGCCTTCATAAGCCTTTCCTTATGAGGAAACGGAGGGGCGGGGCGGGGGGGGGGGGCGGGGCGGGGCGGGGCGGGGCGGGGCGGCTCGAACGCCTTGCTCGCGTTGCCTTCCGCTCAATGTTTCATACTGTTGTTCTTCCATCACGCGGGCCGTGTGGCTGTCTCTCTCGCACCCACACCGACGCCCCGTGCTTGCGAGAAAGACAGCGCGACGCGGTCGGTCGTTATTTGTCGCGGCCTGCTTGGCCTGCTCCGCACCCCGCCGGCGCGGCGTCCCCGGGGACGAGCTGATTGTGTTATTGGGAAGAATAGGCAAGACCGCGAGGGCCTCGAAGACCTCGAGGAGGCGCTGGAGGCGGACTCGCGCCGTCTCTCTCGCACTCGCGGGGCGCGGCGTAGGGGTGCGAGGGACACGGCGCGACCAGCACTCTGCTGCTCCCGCGGGTAGGGCCTCGCTCGTTACCACGCGAAAGCTGCATTAATTTTGTGCGGCCGGGAACACTAATCCGATTGAGTAGAGTCCGCCTTGCCTTGCCTCGCCTCCAGGCTGCGCAGGCCGGCGAAACTTCACCCGTTTTACCACTCCGCTCCTCGTCCACGCCGTCCCCCTCGTGATGGACAAGACGTCCGGATGGATGCGGTCGCGGCGAGTCGACCGGCCGGCCGCGTTGACCCCGACGAGGACCTCGACGGCGACCGCCAGGACCTCCCCGTCGCGAGCTCCCTCATCGGCCTGCGGCCGTACATCAAAACAGCTACACTGCCAACGAGGTTTCCATGCCGACGCGACCGATCCGGACAGGACATCAAGGCACTCCAGCTCATCTCCGGCACTAATTCAGTGTCGTATCAACTCAAAGTGACTGGCATAGTTGTAGTTTCGGCCGGCGTCTTCTTTGAGGGTGGCCTCGGTGCTGCTTGCTGCTTGCCGCTTTCGGCGTGTGGCCTACACTGTAGGGCCCCGGGCCGCAGTCAAGGCAGCCGAGGCCCTTGCCACAGCCCTCGCCATAGCCGGAGCTACATACCTGCCCCGACAGTTAGTGCCGTGCTGACGAGGGGATGGAAGTGGCGGCCTGGGGAGAGAGAGAGAGGGGAG